CTTCCCCAGAGCCCGGGCCAAGGCCCCGCTCGGCCGCGGCTCGGTCGGAGGCCCAGCACCAGCCGGGCTGGGAGCCACCGCCACCGCCACCCGCCGGCTCGCGTCTGCCCGCGCCGGGCTGTGCTGGGCCGGACTGCTCCGCTCCGCTCCACTCCGCTCCGCGCCGGAGCCCGCGGCGGACCCGCTCGCACCTTAGCCAGGGCGCCCAGCCCGCCCAGCCACACCGCCCAGCCCGCTCGCCGCCCGGCCCCCGGCAGCCCACGGAGGGGGAGGGGGCGGGGAAAGCGGGGGAGGGGGGAGGCGGGCAGCTCCGCCTTCTCCCGCCGTCCCGCAGGAAGTGCGCCCTCGGCCCTGTGCCGCTGCCCACCGAGAGTCCAAGCTCGCCTCCTGGCCCGTTGGGGGGTGCGCGCAGACCCCGGAGCTAATGTTTAACGGAAATCAGAGGTGGAAAATGACGTTGGAGGATCCTGTTCTATTCCACCCGCGTTTACTGCTGCGCCCAGGGGCAGCTACGCTTGGGGCTGGGGGCTTTAGGACACGCACGTGAGTCGGGATCTTCTGGCCTCTGAAATAACCCAGGATAGGAGGAATTATGATACATTTTATAAGAATGGCGTAAAAGGGTTACGAGGTTCCCAGGAGATAGAGACATCAGGCGGGGAACCTAGAAGGAAATTCAAAGACGCAGTGTGGAGTTTCTTCAAATGCACGCTGAGATCCCATGCCATCTTGCTTCTGCAGTTCACTGGGTTTATGTAAGGTTAAACCTCAGAAGAGTGAGCATCAGTAAATAAAGAGGGAGTGCTACACATGATCTATGACCCTTTAACTCACACCTTGACCAAACTGCCGTCTGAAAGAATCGTGAGGTTCCCGTTTTTATTTTTCATGCTTCTGTGCTTCCTTTCCAGGTCTTTGGCTGGGCTGGATTCTGAGCTTTATTTGCTAGCAGAATGGAGATAGTCAAGGAGTTACTTGGCTATTTGAGGGTGGAAGTTCACCTCTTTTTTCCACCTCACCTGGCTTCACAGTTTCTGTGCTTAGGGCCAAGTCAGTAGAGGCCATCAGCCCATGTAAGAACAAGTTGATACTAGAAGAGTAATGGGGAGGAGGCCCGCTGTAAGGGAGCACATTTTCCCGATCTATTCCCAAACGCTTTAGGTTCGTCCAGTTTTACCTGACTAATCTTGAAGTCGGGATTCACTGTAGTCTCCACCACCCTTTTCTTCTAAAGAAACAAGTGATACATCAGCAGGAGGAGAATGCCAAGAGTTGAAGCTGACCCAAAATATCATCCAGGGATTCACTGAGCTTCAGAGACCTTCCCTTATTTCCCCTGGTCTAAGTCATCCTGCCTCAGTCCTCAAGTTATCTTTTCTCTCCCCCACGTGGGTCTGCCCTGGTTGGGGAACATAGAACTCAGAGGACACTGGGAACAATTTTTTAAATGCTGCATCTACCTCACAGGAATGC